TAAGTCAAATCACTTACATATTTAAGAAATTTATCCAGGATATCCAGGATTAATAAGTATAAACTTCGTTTATACCTATAAAAATTTGATTATTCCGGCCCGAATAAATAACGAATTTTATAGATTTTCCGAAGAGAATTGGTTTTATTTATTAATTTATAATTTGAATATTTAATTTCAAAGTCAATTAATTTTAATTTACCAAAAGTTATTTCAGGTTTATTTATTATTTCTGGTTTATGATTTGGACTTTAGTTTTATTTATTAAGTAAGGTCATTTTAAGAAGAGAGAAAAGAAACGTTGGTCGATTAAGCTTGTTTGATTTGGAAATTAGTCCTTTTAATTTGGACTTGACGCCTTTTTTAGGCATTTAATTTAAAATTAAGTTATAAATTTAAAATTTGACTATGTATTTAACTGTAGCCACACACCAATGTCAGCGATAATTAAAGTTGTTGCCACATTATTAGCAGCGGTAACTAATCAGATTTTAAATTATTTGAATCATTAATTTATTTAAATTTAGTTACAAGGCTTAATCGCCGCCACTGACTTTTATTATTTTTAAATACTTTTAATAATGAAATTCATGTAATTATAATACTCCGAAATTAATGTGATTATAATTCTCTGTCAGAATGACTCAATAAAAATGTATATATTAATAATTTTTATTTTCAGATGATATCTACTTGATTCCATTATAAGTTTTTATCACGCAGGCAGTTTGATTTGATTTTACGTCATTGTCAGCGATGAAACACGAGAGAAATTTAGCGATGGACTCTGGATCGAACATTCTTAACTATTCTCTATTGAAAAAAAATTGATTAGTGTTTCCTGATAATATGAAAACTTGAGAGAACGAATATTTGAAGCTTTCAAACATGAATTCTTCTTCGCTAAAACGAGTAATGTGATAAAGTTTCGTCGCTGTCAGCAGTTTGAATCCTCGGATTTCATCTGGTATGTGATTACTGATGCAATTAAAATTATAGACTCATTATTCTATTCTATAAATTTTTTACGTTTTTTTAAAGTTTTCTATGTGATTTATACAATTGTCGTTTTTGGTCAAAGTTATTTATGGGACAGGATTCTTCATGTTTAGAATATTCATGTTTATTTATGATCCAGGGTTTTTTACCTCCCGCTGGTTGATTGTTGTTTATTGGTTGTCGGTTCCGAGTCTTTGAATACTTTCTAATGGTTAACATCCTTGTTTAAGATTTTTAGGTTCAACTTTTTTCTATGAGTTCTTGATAAAGCATGATTTTAAAATGCAAAGTTTTTGGAATTTTTTGTTCATTGTTACTTTATTTTTTCATTGTTACTTTATTTTTTCATGCTGATCCTTGTCAAATGAATTCTGATATCCCCTTAACATGAACTGCAGCAGCTTTGCTTTCGCTGTTTCAATACTTTTTTTATCACGTAATTTTTTCGTGAAGACACTTATTTTTTTACCGCAATATTTTATTATATGTCGTGATTGGTTCGTTGTTCTTATTGACATAATATTGTTGAGTATTTTCTTGTTCTATATATTGCTGATAATCTGGAATGTGATCTTGTTACGAGATTTTAATTTTAAATTTCAAGGGCTTTGTTTCCTAATTTTAAGAGTTTTATTTTGATATTCTCTTTGATAGTCTTTCTTTCACTGTTTCAATACTCTTTTGTAAGAGTATGTAATATGTAATTTTTTTCGTGGGGACACCCATTTTTTTACCGCAATATTTTGTCATAAGTCATGGTTGGTTCGTTATTGTCCTAATTAACATAATATTATTGGCTATTTTCTTGCGAGAAATCTGTATATTGATGATCCGATGTATGATTCATGCCTTTTTAGTGAGTTAAGGGTTTTATTTCTTTATTAAATCCATGCTAAAACTTTTTTATGACAATAATAATTGCACTCAATTTTCTGCTGTGGATTGTCATTTTGAAAATCTCTCTTATTTTTCTAAGTATTTTAATTACTTAAGAGAAGGCGTTAAATTATGCTGTGAATTGTCATTTTGAAAATCTCTCTTATTTTCCTAAGTATTTTAATTACTTAGGAGAAGGCGTTAAATTATGCTGTGGATTGTCATTTTGAAAATCTCTCTTATTTTCCTAAATATTTTAATTATTTAGGAGAAGGCGTTAAATTTATTAAGGTCATTCTTTGCTATCATTTTCCTATTATACTTTGGTTTTATTTGTTCTGGTTCTTTAATATTATTTCTGCACTTATTTATAATATAACAAAATTATATAATAATATTGACCATGTAATCATAGACTTATGATGCGTTGTTCTGGTTTGCCCATTGTATCGGATTCGTGAATAGTATAACTATTATATTTTCCATTATAACTTAAAAATTAATTCTGGACAAACTTTTGTGAAAGGAAAAATCATTCCAAAATTCGTTTAGAAATATTACAAAGGTATCGGATTGTTTTGAATCACTCTATATAATTTAAATTCCAATATTTAATATAAAAGACTAAATGCTCTTATTTAATTAATTTTCTCTACCATATTTTGAAAGATTGCAAATTATTGAAAATATTATTAATTAATATATTAATGCATCTTATTTGTTCTTATCAACGATTGATAGCGTGAATCGTATTGACGATTGATAAAGTCGCATTCGTTATATGATAATACTTTGTGGATAACCATTCTTCCACTGATTTATATTATTATTTATATTATTGTTATATTATACTTATAGCTATACTTGTTATATTATTGTTATACTATATATGTTATATATAGTAATCTTACACATGCTTTGACATATATATATATATATATATATATATATATATATAATTTTATTTATTAATTTATCTATTTTTATCAATGAATCAAGATATATTGTTATAAAATATATATCTTTATTTTTTTGTAAATATTAGCATTGTGAGAAAGAAAGTAAAAGAAATTCATTATTTTATTTATTATGTCGCTTTATTTCGTTTCTACAAGAATGCATACAATATATGCATATATATAATTGTGTTTGTGTAGTAGATACACACGATAAATTAGCTATAACATTAAAGAAAATGGAATATTGATTTCCGATTCTTGTTATACATATAATATTAAAAGATTATATAGTTTCAAAAGACTGAAACCATTTGTGATATGTAGCAAAAAAAAAATATATATATATATATATATACATAGAGATATGTTGAATCATTATACATCATGATGTAATTTTAATAATTTTTTCACAAGATATATATATGAGTGCAAAACTGCAAAATTCGAATGACATTTTTAGTCTTTTATAATTACTCATTTTTACAGTTATTTATTTTTATTTTTATATTGAAGTAAATTGCTCGTAAAGCTCGTAAAGCTATTTCAATAAATATGCTTTTTATAATAATTTTTGATTATTAGATTTATATTAATTTATAATAAAAAGATTTATTATTAATCATCAGCATATGAAATAAATATTTTAGAATGAATGTTTTTACAATGATTAATTGAAAAAAATTAATCTTATCAGTGGCTTGTAATGAGCTGCAAGTCATTAATTAATGTATGTATAATAGTGTAGGTATAACAATTATTGTTATTTCGTGTGTGTACGTGTGCGCGCGCTCATGTTATATAAAGTATGTTATATATTTACAGCATAATAAAATTTTTCTGATTTTTTTAATTTACTTTCCAGAGTTAACTTTAACTAAATTACATTTTTATTGTATATAGCATCGGACCGGGAACATATTATGATGATTGATAATGATTTCCTTTCAAAAGAGTTTATTTAATCTCTTTCAATCATTTTTTTAAACGTTTTTTGTCTTGATAGATTACATCCAGATATTTTACAGGCTATGCCAAATAATAGTATTGACGTATACTATTACATAAATTGTATACGTTATTTCGTTAGTGCTGTATTCAGCAAAAAAGAAAAATTAATCCTCTTCCTGTTTATATATAAGCAAAAAGTTACTTGTAATTTATCTCAATATTTGCTTCCTCTGCATTTTATTTCTACTATATATTTATATCTGGAAGATTTAATTAAAAATTTAATATTGTAAGCTATTTTATTAATTTTAAACCTAATTTCAAATGTATATGTATACAAAGTTTAAAAAAGTTTGTGTGTTTTGTTATATAATTGTTAACTAGAATTAAATTGTAATTCGTGTATTGTTTTAATCGAATTCTTACATGTTTATTCATCACGTCTTATAAATAAATATATCGCTTTTCTGCATTATTGATTTAAATATTGATGTGTAATATACATTTTGTTTTAAAATGTTACACGTCATATCATAATTTTGCTAATCATGCTGATGGTTTTATATATACTTTGTAACTAATTTACGTCATTTTAGTTCCAATTTTTAAGAATGTTAATTGCTATTGTTACTATTATTTCTTGCGCACTTTCCCTGATTTCTATTTTATTATCTTCGTAGATAATTAACTAATTTACTTTAAAATATTTTTAACAAACATTTTCTTTTTTCTTTATTTATTTACTTTACTTTATCTATTTACTTTTCTCGAATTATTATTACCTGTCTATCTTTGCTTTTCTATTTTCTATTACAATAATGACTAATACAGGATTTTGTACATATGTGTATTGTGCATGTATGCGAGTGATACTAACACATTTAGAACTCTTCTTTTAATAAGTAAAATTTTAAGTCTTCATAAAAAATTTATAGTCACGTTTAATATAAAAAAGTATCGAATAATACATTTTAATTATAGTTATATAATTATAATTTTCATAATCGTATTTTTATTTCTTTATCATTCCTATCAAGTAAAATATAAAAGTAATGCAAAACGAATTTACTGTTTTTAATTCAATTTTGAACTAGAATAGACAATTGATATGCATTCTCGCAAAAAAAACTCTCTCTTTCTACTTAATAAATTTTTTTAAAATCGAGAAATAAATATTATGCGATATACAAGCTCTTTTATCGAAGAATTTGAATTTCGAAATGGAATTCGAATTAAGAGAAATACGTTATTAATGACTGATCAGCGTGTATTGGGGAAGGGGGTCGGTAATCGTCATCACTTCGCACATATCGGCTCCAGGGATTCAGATCCCGGATATTTAATGGATCTACCTGCGCTGTGCACTCCAGCATCATTACGCCTACGCGAGATAGTGCGCGCCGCCAAAAATTCAATCGACACGTCACGCTGCTGTGTGTATCAACATTGAAAAATCAATGGTAACCCGTGACGTAGGTGTCCCGCCTCAATGACGGCCAATGAGTGCGCGCGCCTACCCCCTCCACCCGCTTGCGAGAACGTTGCTTATTCACGCGCAGACCGGCGTGCTCATTCTGCAGCGAGCTGCCGTATCGAACGGACGTGAATTTCGAGTAGCTGTCAAAGGGACGACAAGACGTAATTAAAGAAACATATATATCGAGCGATATACAGGGTGGCAGGAACGCACTTGTGAAAGCGTGTATGCAGTTTTCCAGCCGACATTAGCCAGGCGGATAGGACGCAGCAATTGTCATCGAGCGATTGTAATCGATAACGAAGATCGACAGATCGATACGTTATCAAGGCGCCAGCGCGCAAAACGATATCGACGATATTGATTTTTTTCGGCGGAGCCACGTGACTGCGAGTTAAAACTTGCGAGGTAGAGTCGTAACGAGATCAGCGGAAAAAATTATCGGCCGAAGTCATCGACGGACGTTGAGATAGTCAGGATCCACTCTCTTTAACGCGACGAGGTGTCGAACGAGCTGTTGAACTTTCTAGAACTGCTACGAGAGCGACAGAGAGAGCAAGCGAAGGAAGAGAGATAAGAGGACAACTCGGGCCGACGACGTGCGACGACCGAGACAGAGACAGGGATAGTGAGCGTGAAGAATCGACGAAAGGAAAGACAGAGTTAGAGTGCACGCACACCGGCAGACGACATGGCGTTTATGATGCCCGTGGTGAAAAACGAATGGGATATTTACAAGACTAATCGCAGCCGGCGCTCCTCCGAGTGTTCCAATCCGCAGGCCTGCCGTAGCAGAAAGGTGAGTACTTGATACAGAAAAAAATGATGTTTATTACGCGCACGCTAGAACAGTGTTTTTACAACCTGAGTAACAATGCTCTCTTGATTGGTATCAAGTTGCGATGGACTAGTTCAAAAACACGTGTATTATATTTATTTACTTTACATTCTTAAAATAATTCTTCTTTTCTGTCCGGAACAAAGTAAAAATATAAAAAAACGTTATTTTAAAAGAACATGTAAGTTGTAAACTTTAAATGAACGCATATATAATCTAGCGGTGTGTTATAAATGATATAGATATTGAAGAGAATAAATTTGAAAAAGGACACGAGAGAGAAAAATGAGATAATATGAACTTTGATATATAATATAATGAAAATGAAACGAGAATTATATTAATAGGAAGAAGAAGATAAGGTGGAAGGGAGAGGAAAAGAAAGAGGTTGAACTAAATTTATACATGCTATGCACGATTTTTTTATAATGATAGTCACGTTTGCAGGAGTTGAGTTTATATCACACGAACCGTTGCATAGCGATATTAAGTGATCAAAAATCGAATGTTTATATACATTAATTCTTGCGCGAGATTATTTTGATACAATTTAAACACACTTTTCTCGAACAATTTTAATTTAAAAATTATTATATATATATAGTATATGCGTAATGAATTCGAATGAATAAATATAGAAACTATGCTATATTGACAAATTCCCAATGACGTAATTACTCGCGCTTCTCTCTCTATTGTAAATACTTCCTTATTTACTAAGCTAGTATTTGCCAAGCTAGAAATAAGAATAATAAATAAATTTTCGGTTTACAAAGTATATAATAGAAATCTTTTCTCTTTAAAAATTTCGATTGTCAGTCTTACGTCAGTCTTAAAATACGATTGTTAGGATGGGTAACTTTTAACAATATTGGCGTCGGTCAGTCTTGATGCGTCATTCGTGCATTGTATCGCGCATATTACTAGCATGAAAACATTGAAATTTATGCGAGCATGTGAAAAATAACGTTCTAACTTTTTATGTATTTAAAATCAGTATTTGCGCATCTAAACACGCATTATTTTACGTATCGTTTCGAAATTACGGTTCGAGGAGTTGAAAGAATCGCGAAAGAATACATGTGTTGTGCGCGAAATTTGTGATTAATGATCATCGATCGAAATCATTACATTGCTCAAAATCGTGAAACTGACAAAAAGATAATAAAGGTGAAAAGTGCCGCATTGCATACGCAATTTTTTCGCAGGTCTGGCGAACTAGCAGGCACAACCGTCTTGCAAAGTGCGACACATCTGATCACCCTTCTGTCTCGATTCTTATGGTAATCGATCAGCTTTGCGCGATTTTCCAACTTGAGGTGTTTATTTTGAAAACGGAATCTTGTCACATTAATTATTAGGGAAATAAATTTATTAATTGACATGTGCGAGAAAATTACTTTAATAAGAATTTCAAAAAATTTCTCGTTCCTTCGAAATAAATGCCTCATCACTTTCATAACTCCAAAAAATCTATGCTTACATTATTTCTAAAATGTTTTTATAATTATACGCGTGTTGTAATATACATGTTATTAATTTTTAAAATTAACATTATTAATTTTGAAAAATATAAAATATATTTTATATATTAAATATATATTATAAAATATATTATAAAATATATTTTATATATTAAAGCAAAAGAGAGAAAGACAAATAATAACTTAAAAAATGTGAAAACTTGTTATTGTTCTGTTTATACGAGTCAACTTCTTTGGAGTTGTGAGAGTTATATAACTTCTCTGTGATTAAAGGTTTAAAATTTACTATTCTTTTTTTATTGTTCTAATAAGAATACTCTGCTTCTTTTTGAAAATATTTTTTTGTCATGTTGTGTATATTTCCCAATACAATTGTGTACACACATAATTCTTTATTACAATAACAAAGAGACAATTTTTTTTACGATTTCAATATATACGTTTAAATATATTGATGAATATACAAGTCGATCTTATAAAAATAAGAAAATCAACACGATGATAACAATTTTATTTAAATACGAATTCTTTTTCACAAAGTTAAGGATTAGTTTTCAAAATATTAACTATATTTTAATTTATAATTATATTTAAATTTATTGTTATTAAAGTAAATTTAAATTTTGCGATACTGAAATTTTATTGTATATTTAAATTTTTGTGAACTAAGAAATGAAATTGATCGTTAATGGCATACATACGTACGTGTATACATACATACATACATTATGGAATCTCTTGTTCCATAGACGCCTTATATATCTATGGAGTTTTCTCTTACAATATGGATTCAAATTTGTTTGAATATTTTTTGCTACTTTTTTGCGATTTTTGATTGTTTTGTTGATGTTTCGCGCGAATTTTTAATAACAATTCTTATAACTCTGTTTTATAATTCCGTTTTTTATATGTCAACAAAATTCCTTTTCCATAATAATATTACTGACAAAAGTATAATTTAACATGTAAATAATTAATTTCTAATTGTGCATAACATCTTAAATTAAAATTTTATTTATTTGAAATTCTATTTAAAATTTGTATTTGTACCATTCATACAAATTTGAATGAAAAATAAGATTTTGTTACCTATCTATATTCTTGTAAAGTTTAACTTGCAATAGGCGCTTGAGTATACGCTTTAATATACACATATTAAATTAAATTATTATCAATTTTTCATTAAGGATAATTTTGCATTAAATTAACTTCAAAGTTAATATAGAATTTGTACTGGAGGCAAGTAACTGGTGATATTTTTAATACATGTAACAGAATAATTTGATAATTTTTTTTAAATTCGATATTTGTTGTTCATTTTCGCAAATGAAAAATAATTTAAAAGAAATTCTCGCGAAATCATTATTGTAAAAGATCATTTCGACATATTCATAAACCGGTTTTCTTTAGACGTCGCTAAATACTCGATAAAATTGTGTTTGTAGACTAAATAAGCATATTTAATAACGGATGACGATCGGAGAACCACGTGTCTTACGGATAAATATACTCTGGTCACGAGTTTATTTTTATCGCGACGTAAGCAGTTATGCGCATAATGTTCAATTGCAAATGATACGCGGTACTTATCGCACTCATAAATGTTATTGTAAATCTATATTATTGATGACATTACGATTGTCAAGTTTCATGTTTATCATTTGCACTAAAAAAGGAATAAAATGATGATAGAAAGCAGCAATTATAATATTAATTAATAAAATAATTATATTTATTATATTTATAATATTCATAATATGCTAATTGATACATAACATGTTCAGGCCTAAATAATGATGGCGCATGTTATAATAATATTACTACATTATTTCACATTATATTTCCATATAAAAAATTTTTATGCAAATGTTATTTATTATTACTTTTATTCGAATATTTCATTTAACGAATATATTTATTGTGAAATAAAAATGTCATAAGATATAAAATAAAATTCATTGAATATAACAAGAAATTGAAAAGATATAATAATGAGAGTCTGTGACTTTATGAAATTTTATTATGAATACTTTAATTTTAAACTGATCTTATAAATTTAATGTGGAATATATTTGTAATGTTGTAAAAATGATACGATTACAATAGTTGTTTTCTTATGCAGAAAGGAAAAAGATTTCTTCAAATTATTTCTAACAAAAAAGATATCGCTGAAGGTCTAGGACACTCTGCACGCAAGGTACTTTAAATCTGTGACGTAATATTGCGCAAGCTTAGTGTCGGTTTCACAATGTATACATATGTCGTCCGCTGAACTCTCGTATGGATTCTTCTTCGTAAAAACTTCGTTATCTGTTGTTTCATTTCATTCTATAATCACACTTAATCCAATTAGAATTTAGATGTCAAATATTATTCTAATCTTGCTAACGATTTAATTTTTTAGATGATTGATTATCTTGATATAATAAATCATTTTTTAAAGAAACTATTATATATATATATATATATATATATATATATATACATACATACATACATACATATATCATCGGATACTCTTCGTGACATGATACTCAATTTAGACAGGATACTCAATTTTTTGGTGTTATTTTCTTACCTATTTTTATCAAGAGAAAAATCTGATCTTTTTTGGCTTTATGATTATCAAATAAGTTATTAGAAATATTTTGAGATAATTTTTGATTAAAGTCCGTCATTGTGTATATATGTATGAGCGCGCGTTTACGCCTATGAATGAACGAATATGTGAGATAAGAAATAAATTGATTTCGAAAGCACTTTATTATCATATATTAAATAATTACTTGTAATTTAAATTGATTAATCTGAAAAGAGAATATAAAAAAGTTAATTTTATTATATAAATATATTACTATCTAAAAAAATAATAGAGAATTTTTAACGTTATGAATATAAAAGAATGTAGATTAATATATAAAGCACATGTTTTATATATGTGATGTACATTTTACAATATATAATTATTTTCTGTTATTTGGATGCGATATTTTTAACTCTTTATATCTTCTTTGATGTTAATTTTAACGATAAAATACTTAGTTCTTGTATTGTGCGCACTTTTTAATCTGTACAACACTTGCTTTGTTACGACATAATTATATCGTGCATATTTGTAAAGTGCTTTCTTTAGTATTATAAAATGTAATAGAGAAATTTTTATAAAATATTTTATAAAAATAAAATGTTTTAATAATGCTGCGTTTTTACATATCATAATAAATTGATAAAAATATCTTTAATTTATTATAAATTTATTTTATTTATTGTAAATATTGATAAAAGTATCTTAAATTCTACAATATATTTTTTCAAAAATTACATTCAAATTAATTTCAGAAACTAATAATATTAGTGACGAAATAATAATAGCTAATAATTACAATATATTAAAATATATTTAATTATACTTAATTACTCTTGACTTTGCGATGCATTATACTTAATTACTATTGACTTTGCGATGCATTCTACATATTTTGAAAAATCTATTGTTAATTATTTTTTAAAAAGAATTATGGATGCAAAATATTATCAATAATAAAAATAAAATTAGAATATTTATTTATTACAAATGACAAAACTGAATATATCAATGAACTTTGAATAAATAAACAAGCAAATAGGTTTTGAATACTTGGTCCTGAACTTGCACGACGATAGCACTATCAATAATCGATCGTGGAGGATGTTCCTATTTTCAATCTTCTATTATTATCTCGTGTAACGCTTCAATAAAAGGCTGTTTATAATTATAATAACACGCTTTTCTATTGAAGACAAATGAAATTAAATGAGAAACATTCATAGGCAATAAACATTGTTTGTGCAAATATCAATTCATATCATATATTCATTTGAGATATGTAGATATCATACAACTATATGATGGCGAAGTTGAGATTAAATTTATTTGATGTTGGAAATACAAGCAAATTAGGCAAATAAAGTCCATTGTATTTAGATAGAAAAGCTATATATTTATTAAAAATTTCAGATAATTTATTTAGATAATTTATTCAGATAATTTATATAATATATATTTTAATTAAATAATGTTTATATTTTATCTTTATTAAAACTTTAAAATATTTTAAAATTAAAAATTAAAATTTATATAATTTTATTAATATTTGAAAAAATCACAAAATTAATAACATATAATTAGTTAATTTTTGTATAGTTATAAAATTTTAAACTATAAAGTTAAATGAAGAATTTGTTAGAACACATAATTAGTTTTATATGTAAAGATATAAATAGATATTTTCTCATATTTTGTATATAACAAGTTATGCATAAAATAAATAAAAATTGTGGTTAAATTAAGTAATTTTTATAATATATTATAATTAAAATTTTAAATCGCTTAATATAAATTATTTAATAAATCAATAACGATAGATTTTGATTGAGATTTGAGAACCATTATATAACCATCGTGTCATGTCGTAAGATGATCGTACGATTGATAAAAGGAAAGAAGCATTGGTTACAAATAAAAACAAATTTAACCTAATCAGTCATCTATCGTTTTCTATTGTGCTGACAAGCATGTGATTGTAGTTTCAGTGTATTCTTGCGAGGAAAAATACGTGCATCATTCACGTGATGACATTTTTTTATTTTTATTCTATTCGATGCTGAATACAGAATGAATCAATTCGCGTTGAAAACATATGCATGCGAACATATGCATGCAATTTATTAATCAATTAATCAGGATATTGAATTTGAGGAGGCCTGTACGAAATGAGGTACACGTGTTCTTTCACAAATTAATTGCGCAGTCGTTAGAATACCGTTATAGATCTACGATCGGGATTCTTTCGTTTAATTTTAGTTTCTGAATATTTGATATAATAAATACAGCAATAATTTATTATTTTAATAAACGATTTAAAATAATTGCAAAAACAATTATTACACAAATATATAATTAAATTCTTCATGAATTCTTCATTAAATTAATTGCAAATAATTCATAGGAAAAGATATGGAAAGATCAAAATACAGTCTTTCAAGATCCGGTTTACGAAAGGCAAACTGGTAAAGTTAATCGCCACATTTTGATCAAGAGATATTATTGCAACGTATAACATTTAAAATGCTTACTACACGATCCTGATCGAGAGAAAAGAAAAAAACGAAAGATAGAAGGCTAGATTAGAAATATTTCGTTTTTGCATTATGACTCGTACATGTTAAAATAATTTTACAAATGTAATCCATATTAGAATCATTGCAACTTTCGCCTTTCATGTATCGAGCAATGAAAAAAACGCTACGATTTTGCAAAGTCGTTATAGTAAGAATGATTGCGTTCCATCGATTCTGTGATGAATATTAAACGGAATTTGGATGAAAGCTAACAGATTCGAAAGGCAGATCATGCAATTGAAGAGTAAAGGAACGATAATGATAGAAATTTTTCTAACAAATATTTGTTAACTGTGGTTCACTATTGCACGTTGATAAATAATGCCTCTTGAAAATTAACAATAATATAATTAGTAAAATAATATAATAATTCTGGGATTTAGCGAATATATCATATCTACATTTAATATTTTAATAACACAATTATATTATTCTTTTTTAAGTTACATATTGTACTGATTAGTAAAAATGATCCAATTAGTGATCGTATTTTTATGGGAAAATTCTCGGAAAATTCTATTTAAGGAAATTTTCCTTCGTGTTTTTTAACCTGGAATTTTTTTTCTATTCCTAGGTGTCCGAATGTTCCAAGTCGGAGGGTCCGTCGTTGTCGACCTCCCCCGGCTCCGATTTCCTGACCTCGCCGGCGCATCGGTCCGTACCGTTGACCTCGCGTCACTTCTCAAGGACATCCTCGAGGGCATCTCAGAGTTCCCTGCAAAGTCCAAGTAAAAGCACGAGCACGTCGCCGCCGAAGACTGGCAGTTCGAACTCCCTCAACAAGTTCCATAACCGATTGGTCGACAAGTTGAAGCGCTCGCTGAAGAAGGCAGAGGACTGCGCTGAAGATCAGCGAAACTTATCGTGAAACAGTCAAGTGGTTTTGGGCCGGCCACCCGTATCCGGTTCGAAACCAATCGAGATCCGACGCACTTCGGCACCCGCTACCACATCCGAGTCGAGTAGCAACGCGGCGGCACGCTCGTGTCCGGATCCATCTTCAGCTTGGTAGAGAAGAGAGAACATAAGAAAGGAAAGAGAGAAAGTGAGAGAAAGATGATAGCGACAGCAACAAAAAATACGTGTATTAGAAGGAAGAGATCGAGTGAGAGAAGAAGAATGTGTGTACAAGAATGAGAAAATCAATGAGGGAAAAGAAGGAAGAAGAAGAAGCGAAGAAATCAACTTTCGCTCGTCGCACGTTTAGCTTGAGTATGTTCGAAAGCGAGCGCGTACAAGATTGTTAACCCAGCACAAGCAAGAAGAAAGAAGGGTGGCATGATCCTGGAGTCGTTATTTTCGAACCATTGGATGTCGATAGTCGATCATGGATAATCGATCAAGGATCCTCAGGGGTCAAGAGATACCTCGATCGAGCGATCGAACGATAGGAGGAGCCTCAATGAACACTTGAGATGATGAAAAGAGATGTTGATTGCAACGCTTTTAGAATAACAGCGCGACAATTTCGATATATAAGGAGTGAAGAACATCGATAAACAGAAGAATATTCCATTCTACGGATCTCCTAGATAAATCTAAGGATCTGATTAGAAGATGATGAGAAAAAGGAAATAGTAATAAGATGGGAATCCTGAAAAATTCGCAGTTTACATCAGATCGAACTATTCGATCGAATCTCTCGTAGCAGAGATTTCGAAGATGACTGGAGAGCATCAGCAATTAAGGGATAATCGTTGGAGCAGCAACAGCGCAAAAAATAAGGTATATAGCAAACATGTCTATCGAGATTATGTATCGTGATTGCGCGTCGCGAACATTTTATTGAACGTTGCAAGCTCGTGGTCAGTCGGTTAATTAAAATAGTCACTTGCGTTGTCAGACCTAATAGCTAAGTTCCTTGATTGCGCACGAGATCGTGCGTATAGCGTTCTATATATATGTTGTTCTCTTCTTAACATATAACATTAATTAAAACGAAATCGAAGAAAGACATTTAGCGGGCGCAAGGAATTTCCGGTTTCCGTGAAAAGATTGATCGATGTCATGGGATTACATTTATCTTGTGCAAATAATATCTAAGAGATGTTATAAAGACTGTTGTAAAAAATAGTTTTTTTTTTCAACATTCTTTTAAACGGTTTTATATCTTTCAAGTATCTTTTAGATATTTATTGAAAACAATCGATACGTTTTTTATTTCTTTGCCAAATTAGTTCATGTTCGTGGAAGCAAAACGTAAATCTCTATTCTTAATATCCAATTAACTTTTTCGCAATCTAGACTGAAAAACGTTCTCTAATCAGTACGTCGTGTAAAACAGTTTAAGAATAGAAGTTCGTATTCTCAGCGCGTTAAATATATGACTCTGCCCAATTATGAGTTATGTATTTGCTTAATATGAGGAATGTTTTCTCATGGCATAATCGATGTGTTAGATACGCGATGAGAATATGGATTAAAATGTAAAGAAAGAGAGAGAGAGAGAGAGTAAATAGCGTGAAAAGAATCGCGAATATATTCTCGTTTTTATCGGATATATCAAACTGAGAACAATAGTAAGGCTCGCCTGTTGTTCGAATTGGGATCGAATTTACGTGAAATTTGTCGAATTGGGATCGAATTTACGTGTCGGAAACTGCAGTTTCTTTACCTTTAGGATATCGAGCTGTGCAGGAAAAAGCGCCGTGTGCTGCGAGATGGTTTAAAGACGCGAATAAACATGCATACGCGTATTCTTTGATTCAGATCACGTACGAACGAAGCCTAAGAGAAGCGCTTATTTTCGCATGTATATCCCGCGCTATTCATCGCAAAATTAGTTGTACTTACAATTAGTATTCACATAAGTATATTCGCCTTGCATTATTTTTCTCGTGCTCGCCTTCTATACCAGGAAATCTCCAGAAATCGCGCCGAAATTACAAGAAACGCAATGCACAGCGTATTTTGTATAGAGTAATTAATGCAAATAACATATGAATTAATTTCTATTTAATAAAAAAAATCTATTTAGTTTGATATAAATTTTTTATTGCATGCAAAAATTTGAAAATCTAGAAATGTGAAAACTAAAAATAACTTTATATATCGAATGATTCAGCGATATCTTAAAATAAAGTTTTTATAAATTTTTTTTAAGAATAACATTAATTATTTTTTTTCGAGGAAATAAGAAAAGAAATACTTAAACAATTTGCAATTATTGATGTATCGTCTTATTAAATAATATTTCTAAGTGCTCTTCGCTTTACAGTACGATAAGAGTAATGCTAATGTACGTGGCAGAATCTATATAGGGAAGCATGATAGATACATCCGGTATCATTAAAGTATTCTGCGACGTACACGCGTTGCGTTGCATGCGAGATGCGCGATATTATTCCGGAGATTTTCTCGGATCACTCGGAACCGGGCATAGATATTTTCTTAAATGAATCGCATTTTTGTCATACATCATCGAAGATGTAACAACGTTTCCCCTGAGGTTTACCTCGCGCACGAGTTATTTGTATTTGTTGTTTCGCTCTTAAGCGCTTGTTAATTTTTTCATGTAATATATATACATATAGTGTATTATTTCGTTACACAAATATTGAGTCGGTTGGCCAGAAAAAGATGCGGGAGCAGGACGTGTCGTGCCCTTGGAGGATTGCACATGTGCAAAGGATGTCGAATGTTAAGAGAAAATAACGCTACGCTGTCATGAAAATTTTCTCTCTTCTGTATGGATTAATTAAATAGATAAATTTCATTTTATTAAATATACAGTCCAAGTTTCTAATTTGCAGAAATAATTAGATGGTGCTTTCTAAATCATATAACTCGTTATGATATGAAAAGGAGAGAAATGTTAATTGACGTGCATGTTAGTGATGAGCGCATAATATTTTTTCTGGAGTAAAATTATTAAAGTGGATCATATTTAGTAATAATTATGAATAATAATAATTTTCAGATAAGTAAAAATTAATTAGATTAAATTTTAATTGAAGCGCGTAACAATTTTTTTAATTATTAGATGAAAAACTGTTCATTCTTTAACACTCGACTCTGCGCGTCCTGGTTCTAGTTTACGAATTAAAATATATATTTAGCGCGCTTTCTTTCTATCGGTTGCGTATATCGAAGATTACGAACTGGGAGCAATTAAGTGATGCCGCATGTAATTCTGTGATACCGTATAAACTATAAGGTAGAATTACTCTGCAACGATTAATGGATTAGAGGAGAGGCGATTATGGTGAGATATTATAGTTAGGACGAGATTCGAACGCTTCGATTCTTCGTCAATCGCAAACCCGCGTATTTGGAAACCGAAATAACAAATTTCTTCTTGATTGGGCTGAATAACACGAGGGAGTTTCAGTATGAAAGAGCTCCTGCAATTATTTTTTCTTAAAAGAGAACAACGCTGCTTTCGGAAATTTTCGAGACAGATCATGAAATTCTGGCGCACGAGCATTTGAAGTCGTTTACGTCCGTCTTAACGTATACATAATATTAAGAGTATGAAAAAGAAAACATTCTGAAAGCGTTTATCGATTATTATTTCGGGAAGAAACAGTACAACGAAAGTTATTTATTTTCGATTAAAATGGGAAATAGTTTCTGGAAATGTAACTTATACGGTATAGAAGCCGATCTAATATCCGATTTAATATCTATTACAAGAAGTAAAATTTTCAATTCAAGGGTAATTTAATATACGTCGATTTGCGCTTTCGGATTTACATCAGATTTAAAAGAAAGCTTAGTTGATAGGTATCGCGCGGAAAATTTTGAAAATTTACGTAGCTCAATCTGCATTTCTCTCTTCGAATGCAGATAGCAGGGGCAGAAGATGAGGAAGGGAGAAAAAGAATGAGATGGATAAACCGCAAGAAAGAAAGACGGGATTGTGTGTTTGCGAACATCGGCTAGTGTGATAAAACAGAAATCATTTTGTATATTGAGATGCATACCGGATAATTTCCAAAAGTTGCCGCTTTATGTAAGACTGCTTTAGTGAAACAAAAAAAAACAGAAACTAAAAGTATAAATATCGATATAAGACGATTTTAGGACGCCGTGGTGCTGGACGGAATATTGGGACACACGATGTTCGATGGGCTTATATTAAATTTAAAATCAACAGTATAATATTGTATATTATATTATACACACATAATAATTTTTTGTATAAAATATCTCTCTCTAGGACTTTCAATAGTATGCAAATTTTCGCATAACACAAATTAAAAGATATTTTCAGATTGAAAGTTTTTAATATGTGGATTTATTGTCTTAAATTGGATAATTAATTGCTTGCATATCTTTTCGATATACAAGTAATGGATATGGATTTTTAATTTTTCTTTATTCACATATACTTTGTTCCTCTCACGAATTTACTGCCATTAGCGCGAACTGGGTTTCACGATCCAATTCATACGTGTGTCCCAAGATTTCGCCGGTTGATTCGTACTGATTAGAAAAATGATGTTATTAGATTTTAGAGATTGACGAGATATATATAATACAATCTATTTATTACGGCGGCCTCGGACCGCGGAGTAAACGTGGATTGGGATCTTTCTTCAATAAAATTATCGAATTTCATATTAAATGTCTATCGCATTAATCTTTACCTTTTTTCTAGGTATATAAATACGTAGATAAAGAGAAGTATTTTAACATTGCGCAGTCTCTCGATCCACTTTCATTCTACGGTCGCAACGCGATTGCAAAGCTATACACGTGCAGATATATATGTATACGTATATAGTAAAATTATATATGTATGCATATATACGCGTAATATGTACATATTATTTATTACGCGACGACTCGACTATTTTTTCTATTACTACTAAAATTTTACGGTTATTTGTTATACCTCACTCGGGACATTTTGAGCGGGTTTTTAGCGCGTGTTTGAGGAGAAGCGCCAAGACTTTTGCGAATTTACACAGCGCGAATGATTTTTCTGCGTCTCTTTTTTTATAGCAATTAGTATGTGCGTCAATCTTTTCAGGATAGACATTGAACGTTACAAATTGTCATAAATCACATATGGAATTAAATCTTATTCTTGATAATGTGCAACATATATATGACTATAGAAGAAGACAATTAATTTCATCAATTTCATTGTTAATGTAAGTAAAATTTAGATAGTTACAGATTTTTCTTTATTTCTAAAATATTTCATCACTAAAAGATTAATCTAGGCTCCGTGAAAAAAATTATCTTGCAAAAGTTGTACTTGTTGGACGAAACCCAATATCATCGTCGATTGCTCAAGTACTTTCTCCTCACTCACGACGATTGAATATCACTGCCAAAAGCCCAAGATTATAATAAAATAAAACAAAAAAAAAAATAGCGTAGCTCGATCGGACCCCGCATTTCGGTCGCTCTCGATCGCGCCGTCTCATCTGTTCTGTCCTTTATTCACGCATACATTGTCTCTCCAGTTTATATGAATATATTTATTTTTCGACGAATAGCCACTTATGTTGTTGAAAAAATCCGTTCGCTTTTTTTCACATTAATTTAGCGCCGATGACGATACCAATTCTAGCCAGTGATTAATTATAAAACTCTTATAAAACTTATATTTTCTCTGCGATATATAAAAAAAGATTGTAAAATAAGGTAAACAGTACAAAGACGAAATGTTTGAAATATGAATTAACATTTAGGAAGCCATAGCTCTAACATTTCTCTTTCAGGAAATAAAAATGTAGGAAAGAATCTTCGTGCAATAAGTATTTTATAAATGCTTATAGAATGCAGAATTTTATAGCGATGGATACATTGTAATGCTTGACTTATATACTTTTATAAATATATTTATGCAAAAACCGATTGTAAATCAAAACTTGATTATTTCCTATTGATATAAATCCTATTTTATTGATTCTTTTTCTATTATTAACGCTTCAACATTTCAAGAAAGTTATTTTATAGAATACTTATTCCTGTATTTATATGTGTTATTATGCTGATGCTCATAATTATCCTGTTTGTCATACGCAATAAACAATATAATTATGTATACGACTTGTATTTTTAATGCGATGATTCATCTTCAGTAGAGGAAGTATCGGCATAAAATTGAGATTTAGTCTCACTTTCGCAAAGACGAAAGCAAGTTATCGTATCGTCGTCGAGATCGCTAATTATCCGAGAATTTCGTAGTCGAAGAGAGATGCGAGCGAAAGCGAAACGGTGTGGGCGCACATTCCATGTGTAACGATTATACATACGTGTATAAAGTAATCATCTGTTAGAGTTTGATAGGAAATTCATACAAACACACACGTACACACGGGCATGCGAAATATTATACTGGAAGATGATAAATGAATAATATATATGAAGTTTTCGAAGCTTACATAATAGACTTCGGTTTATCATTATTATGTATCGTGATTTTTATGTCATGTTCAATAAATGAGTTTTAAACTGCTTATATTTATCTATCCTTCATTCCTAAAATTATTTGCGGCGATAAAATACAATTAAGTACATTATATACAGATACTGAAATATGTAGGTATGTACATAAATATATTTATGATATCATGCTGAAAATAAAGAAATAAGCAAGATATTTTGAAATGTTCTTATAAAAATCGAAACTACAATGTGACAGCAAATTTCAAAATTTTTAATTAAAATTTATATATTATAGTACATATTTTTTAATTCTGAATTTAATTCTGAAACAATAAAATGATATGTTTTAAATAAGATATGAATTTTATATATAAAATAAAAGCTTAAAATTAATAAAAAATTTTAATTTTAATATAGAAAATCAGAAAGGAATAGGGTTAGTCAGAGCCTCTTCGAGTAATAAATAAATGATCTTATTCTGTATAAAAATTCATTTTTAGTAATAATGAACGTTTTGAATTCATTTTTTTAAATATTAAAGAATATGAATTATGACGCACGTTCTATGCATGTAAAACAGTATTGAATAACGATGAAGTATATTAATCTTGATATTAATCGTGACTAATTCATTCGAGAGATAATTGAATTGGGCATGAATCATCATTTTGATGGTATCGTTAAAACAAAATTTTTTACATCAGAAGTAACAAAGTTCAAATGAAGTGTAATAGCTTTTCTATGATATCAATTGTACTTTACATATTGATATCAAATAAAATTATCGATGCATTTTCTTAGAAAATAAATATTTATTTTTTTTGTTTTTTTTGAGATATTTAACAACTTTCTTTAGTTAGATTAAATACTTTCTTATATGCTTAAAATTAAATTAAAATATATGCTTTGAACTTATTGTGTCAGATAAACTATGCATATGTAAACTAAACGTAATAATAATAACTAAAATAACTAAAATGTATGAAAATAATTATGGATTTACTTTACGACTACGAAGTCTGCATTATGCATACAATATCTTATTAATAGTTTCGCTTGCGTGATTTTCAACAACAAGTTCGCGCCATGTATCTAAGCTCAGATTTCATTATTGCGATATGCGAAATATTATACGAATGGGAATTACTGACAAATTTATTGGTATTAAAAAAGTAACTTAGCATTTACTTTGACTACTTTAAAATATAGCTTTTAAACTATGTCTGCACATGTGTGCACATATTATTCACGGTCTAGGTAGTTATCAATTTTCGTTTATAGTTTCTAGATCAAAGAGAGTACAAGTTGTTTACATTTCCTTTACAATATAATATAAGATATGGAAAGATTGCATCATCAAATGCAAATTTTTAACATGAAATCAAAATTTTACATTAGAAAAAGATCGAATATCTATTCTTATTATCAAAATATAAAATAAGAATCTTTAATATCAATATAAAAAAAAATATTAAAATAAATGTTATTTAAATATAAATATATAAAAACGTAAAAGCGTGTATAAATGTAATATCTGAATGTATTAATAAATATTATTTTTTTTAGATTTTTATGTTGCATTCTATTTTGCATTATTCAATAATATAAAAGATAAATATTCCATTTTTTTCAAATATTATTTAGAAATAAAATTGCAATTATAAAATAATATAATTTTATGATACAATTATAATAAGAGCGAAGTTTTTTCCAGATTAATTGTGCTCTTCTCATTAGAGATTTTTCAATCAAATTAGAAATGATTTTTCTGAGAAAATAAATAATTAAAATAATTATTCAGTTTCCAAATATTAATTTCGAATATTAAGAACTGAAAATACAGAATTTCTAGAATATTAAATTCTACAGCTATTTAATTCTAATAAAGAAGATTATCATATCTTTTAATTAATTCCAAATGAACTATAATAAAATATTAATTTAATTTCTAAAAAAGTATTTAATGAAAATTGAAAATTGAATGAGTACGATAAATTATAATCTTTTTGATATTTTAAAAAATTCTCTTTAAATAAAAGCGATTAAAAAGATATCTGATTTAGATTGTGTTCTGGTTTTGTAATCATCGATTTTTCATGATTTATGATTGCATTGTCTTAAATCTATTTGAGATAGCAGAAAGTCATTGCGCAGGTCGGATTACAAAAAAGGTAAAAAATGTATAATACTACCGTCATCATACGCGCGATGCAACGAATGACACGTCAGATGTCGCGTTGCAAAACGTCAGGTAACTTCCGTCGCTTTTATGTTGCGAAACAAGAACAAGTAACGATAATTTCTTATCATTATAAACAACACATTCTTCACCACACAATGCGCGAACACGTGAACGTTTCTGTTATCGTAGCCAAGCTCGTAACTTCGCATTACGGTGATGAAGCATATAGCGCAATGCAATCGAAATATCTGTGGATATCTTATCGAGATTGCTTGATTATCAATGATGATGCAATTTATTGTTATTTTGCATCAACTTCTTGTAGAAGTGCTAGGAACCATTTAATATTAATTTGCGACGCGCTGCAAGATATTGACTATTGCATGATTGCTTGTGCACATACATCACATTGCGAAAAAATAACTTACATCACATTTCTACACATGTACTTTAGACACATATACATACACATACACACATATATATTTTACTTTTATATATATATATATATATATATATATATATATAAAATATTAACAGTAATTTAAATTTAATATCATATAAAATATTATATATTATAAAAATTAACAATTACTTAAATATATTAACAATAATTTAAATTTAATATTATATTATAATAATATAATAATAAGAATAAGAATAATTTATACGAGCAATGTCGTGTTGTAATAAAATTTCCAAATATTGAATTTTTATTTTTATTTAAAGTTGTATAAAAAAGATTATTTAATTATTAATATTAATGGTAGGATATTTGACATTAAAAATTGAAATCTTATAAAAATGTTGAATTATTTTTGTTAAATAGAAACTTTTAACTTTCATTAAAAGTTCACAAATTTTTCATGAAATTTTATAGACATGTATCATATGTATACAGAAATTTATTTTTATAAAAAAATGTTTTTTTAGAATGATAATTATTAATATATATTTTTATAGTATTTTATGTTATAGTATAAATAAAAATATTCAATCATACATTACCATTAACATAATTTCATGAATATTTTTGCTTATATTTTTTCAGTAGATTCTGCTTCTTGTAAAATTGGAAGAAAAAATCTAATTATCAGCGCATATAATAACAATAATAATATGCCAGTGCACGTTTTATAACTTATTACAGTTAATGCACGTATTGCATTGTTATTGCATGCATAGAATTGGTTTCTGTGCTAGAGATTTTTTCGAATGGAAATTTCCATCGCACGAGGACTAATGCCTACAATATGTTTTGTATGAGTTATTAGCGGAAAATCTGCGTCTGCAAAGATATTGTACGTATATATATATATATTCTCGATGAGTAAGGAAAAGACAAAAGGTGGAATTAACACTTGCGTATTATGTCTTTACAACATCAATTGCATCATTTGATAATTATTTTTTAGAATAAAATAGTAAACCAATTAATAGAAATCTAATTTTTTTAAATTATTTGTGACTGCATTTTTAAATCAATAAATAATAAAATATATAAAATTAGATTATTAATTATAAATGCATTAAACGTTATGCATAGAAAATTATGTTTAATAAAGCTTTTGATAAAAAATTTTGTGTGCAATTAAGTTTAAGAATTATATATTTTGTATTATATATATTTTATATTATATTATATTATTTAATATGTTTATATAAATATGGAAACATTACTTTTCAATACCATATTGTATTCTATTACTAATAATAATTCAATTCTTAAATCTAGTTCTTAAAATTAATCAAATAAAATTGTAAATGAAATGAGTAGAAACAACATTAATTAATGAATTATTATTCGTTGCTTACGTTTATTCAGAAAATATTTTTTCATATCATTTAAAAAAATAGTAATAGTATAAAAAAAATCAGTAATCATTTGAATAGAAAAATGACAAATTAATTGTGTATTAATTGTCTGCTTAATTAAAAATAATTAATTTAACAAAAAAAGCTAACAAAACTTAAGTTAAGAAAAAAAGTTAATCTAAATTTTTATTTTAGAAAAAATTAATGATTGCGAAATCGTTATTATGGCTACGCTGATTACTCAGTAATCTCGAGCGGGTAAGCCTTTTGCCCGAGACTGCATCCGTTGAGTAGCTCACAGGAAATTCATCAAGGTGCTGACGCCTACATCTGTTTATCAAATCTCATTCTCGAGCGGGTTCATTCAGTGCGTACAGCTCCCACATCTAACATATATCATATCGCGAACTAATACCTACACAATTAAGTTTCATTGCACTTGCGTAGCGTCCTCCTTGCCCCGCTCATTCCTCGATGTATACCCTATCACACGAGTATCCTCTGCATCCTTCCTGCACACATAGCATACTAAACACATTATAAATGTCTTATCTAATTCACTATATTTTCTAAAAGCACTTTCTCCTACACTTTATTTGTAGAAATAAGAAACATTTTTACCTTATAATTATTATAAATTTTTATAATTTTAATTACATTATGTGCACAATTTTATAATATATTTAGTGAAAATCATGGTACCACGACATATGGTGGGAACAATCTTGGTCGAACATAATTGTCATAATTTTGATTTAAGTTTTTAACTGCGTGTCTCCGAATAAACAAGATCAGTCGTGGTGAAAGAGTGCCACTGCAGATTATATTCAGTTATATGACTGTCATCATGAATAATCATTACAGACGATATGATGATAGATTTTTCTTAAATTTGACGTGAAAAAAAGATAGAAGAGAATATAAAATTATCTGATTACTCTGGGAACTCTGCATTTTTTATCACAAATATACATAGTTTAATTCATTTCATTTATTATGTAAAATACATTATTAATATTAATTTATATATATTTGTATTTATATGTGTGTATAATATTTTCTTTATTATAAAAATT